AAATTTTTACGGTTTCAAAAGGTAAAAAATCCAAACTTAGTTTAAAAAACAACATAAATTAGCTTAGAACTGGACGATCCAATGCTCTATTTATTCATGTGAGAGATTTTAACCATCCAATTAATTTTCAGAAAGCTGAGAAAGTTGTATCAAGCAAGTCCAGGGTTGAAAGAAATATAATTGAATCTTGTTTCATAAAAAGCAGTTTTGAAAATAATATGAATATTTCCTTAGGTTTATATAAATTAGACTCATTTATAATTAATAAAATTTGGTTAGAGTTTAATAATACATTGGACAAATAATAAACCTTATTTCTTGGGTAGAATATTTTGTTAGTGGGATGTCGTGAGGACCTGTCCAGTTGGACCAGCGGACCTATTGCAGTGTTCTTCTTTTCTTATGAGGTTTTTCTTTGTTGTGGGGGTTGACTGTGAGGTGTAGTCTATGCCCTTTAATTGCCTTCCTTTGATGTATTACTTTCATAGTTCCTTGACAATGTGAGTAGTTACGAAAGTGCTTGGAATTTCACTACTCTTTCACAGTGGTTGTTTTGCATATTTTAAAATCACATGTTACTGTGATCTTATTGCATACATACATATATACATATATACATACATACATACATACATACATACATACATACATACATACATACGTACATACACACACACACACACACACACACACACACACACACACACACACACACACACACACACAATAGATGAGAGAGAAGGGTGGGTTGATTGCATCTTCTAGGACTGCAAGAAGGCCTTTGACACAATTCCTCACAAGAGATTAGTGCAGAAACTAGAGGATCAGCATGTATAACAGGAAGGGCACTTCAGTGGATCAGAGAATACATGACAGGAAGGCAACAAGTCATGGTACATGATGAGGTATCACAGTGGGCACCTGTGGCGAGCGGGGTCCCACGGGTTGGTCCTAGGACCAGTGCTATTTTTGGTATATGTGAATGACATGATGGAAGGGATAGACTCAGAGGCATCCCTGTTCGCAGATGATGTGAAATTAATGAGGAGAATTAAATCAGATGAGGATCCGGCAGGCCTTCAAAGAGACCTGGACAGGCTGGACATGTGGTCCACAACTGGTTTCTCGAATTCAACCCTGCCAAAATGCAAAGTCATGAAGATCGGAGAAGGGCAAAGAAGACTGCAGGCAGAGTATAGGATAGGTGGCCAACAACTGCAATCCTAGCTCAAGGGGAAACATCTTGGCGTGAGTATAACACCAAACATGTCTCAGAAGCACACATCAACCAAATAACTGCTGCAGCATATGGGCGCCTGGCAAACCTGAGATTAGCATTCCGATACTTAAGCCAGGAATCTTTCCAGACACTGTACACCGTGTACATCAGGCCCATACTGGGGTATGCAGCACCAGTCTGGAACCCACACCTGGTCAAGCACGTCAAGAAGTTAGAGAAAGTACAAAGGTTTGCAACAAGGCTAGTCCCAGAGCTCAGGGGAATGTCGTACGAGGAAAGGTTGAGGGAAATCGGACTGACGACACTGGAGGACAGAAGGGTCAGGGGAGACATGATAACGACATACAAGATACTGTGGGGAATAGACAAGGTGAACAGAGATAGGATGTTCCAGAGAGGGGACACAGAAACAAGGGATCACAACTGGAAGCTGAAGACTCAGACGAGTCACAGGGACGTTAGGAAGTATTTCTTCAGTCATAGAGTCGTCAGGAAGTGGAATAGCCTAGCAAGTGAAGTAGTGGAGGCAGGAACCATACATAGTTTTAAGAAGAGGTATAACAAAGCTCAGGAAGCAGAGAGGGAAAGGACCTAGTAGTGATCAGTGAAGAGGCGGGGCCAGGAGCTGAGTCTCGACCCCTGCAACCACAATTAGGTGAGTACACACACTGTTAGCAAGGAGGTCCTCTCTCAGTGTGAGCAAGGAATAGGATAATAACCAGCAGTAATTGGTACTTAAATCCAGCGTGTGCAATAAGTGGAAAAGGTAGCATTACTAGGAAAGACAACTGGTACTACAATTCTGAGCCTACATGACAGAGTGAGTGTGATGGTTACTTTTCAGCCACATATCAACTACCCCTTCCCTACCCCCCTAACCATCGCTCCCCCTGATCAGGTGTGAGGAGAGGGAAATAGGTAGCTAGTGAGGGGTAACGTTAGACAAGCCCTCACACACACACGCACGCACGCACGCACGCGCACACACATGCATGCACATACAACAGGCCAAGTGTTTAATCGACATGTGCCTAGGACCAAATGGTAACTAACACACACACACACACACACACACACACATGCATGCACATACAACAGGCCAAGTGTCTAATCGACATGTGCCTAGGACCAAATGGTAACTAACTAACACACACACACACACATCACAATCAAAGAAAGTGCTAAACCAACAAGGGTACACACACACGTGTACTCTCTACCCAGGTGGATCTGTTTATTACTTGATAAAGCTCAGTGAGTGGGTGAAAAGTAGTCAATAAAGGAATGCATTATATTGCATCTGTGTCTAGTTTTTACAAAATAATCTGTGCTTAAACCTGTGGAGATTGCAAATAACTAATATGCTGCTGAAGTTTATCTAAAATGTATAATAAAAATTGTAACTTGCTTCATTCCATAACTATTTTTTATATTGAACTTAGAGGACTACAGGATTCTAACTCAATTGGGCATTAATCAATTTTTAACATGTTTTAAAGCATCTTTTCATTATCTGATCCAGTCTTCTAAATGCCACTAAAGTATCCCACTAATATCTGGCCTCCAAATACTCCTCACGGTGGTTCTTGACAACAGCAAGGGACTCTTGATCCATGGGACTGGACCCAACCTCTTCATCGATCAAACCTGATCACCTCACCTCCCATTCCTATGAAGTTCTTGTCCCTTAAGGGTTTAACACTTCCCTCTTTGGATCTGTTTTCCTCTTCCTTGGATCAAACCTGAATGCCTCCCACTCCCTTAGATGCTGTATGACCCTTATGGGCTTAATGCTGCTGTATGAATGTAATGACTCTCCTCCCCATGAATGTGTTGTAATGATGGCCAACAAAACACTTTATAAAAATCAATCAACAAAAAAGGATACATTTGTAGGCAGTGTCAAGCTGTTCATTTAGCATCCAGTTGATGATGTTTGTAATATCTGAACGAAGAGGATGACCCACACAAGTGTATACATTATCCTCTGTCACCTGAAATGGTAAAATTGAAAACACTGATTTTATATCTTTTTTTTTTTCTACTTTTTTTATTCTTTTGCTACCTTAACTTGTATATTTTATCTTGTCAATTTAAATCTAGTTATACTCTAATTCTTGTAAACAACTTATATAACACCTTATATAACCCATTTGACCATAAACAGAAATATTAATCTCAATCTTAAAATAATGAATCCTATGATACTCCAATACTGAAACTATGTACTGTGCCAAAACAAAAGCATTCACATTGCTAAACTCACAAACTAGTATTTAGTCACTTAGCCATAATACCAACTTACCTCATAATTTGTAATATTTTAAAATAAAGAATTAAACTAAGTCTGCCCGAAATGCCTAGCCATGCTAGGTGTTCTAGTGGTACACTCTGTAATCATTATTTAACTACATGTAAACCACACAACAACCAAATTCTGTAAATTCAACATTGTAATCTTTATAGAGAATAAACTTTGAATTTGAATTTGAATAGACAAACACCCCTAAGGGTGTTAAGGGGTTCTTGACCCAAGGAATTGGATTTGACCTCCCTTTCTCCAGGCACTGTATTACCCCTATGGGTTTAGTGCTTTCCTTTAAATTTTTATTGTAAACAAAACCAAGTGCTAAACCCATCAGGGTCATACAGTGCTGCAGGGTAGGGAGTATAATATTATGAAGGCAGAGTTTGTGAGGGCAATGAGGTGTGCTAAAAGTACAATCAAAGGTCATGCAATAAATCTATTGCTGTCCAAAAGTCAAAGAGGAAGTCTGTCAGCAAGGAGGGAAGATAGGGGTGTTAGAGCGATGACAACGTCAGAGATAAATTCTGCGTGCTTGCTGATAGACAGGATAGTCCAATAGAATATGGCAAACTGAAACTGGACCTTGACAATTTGCACAAAGTGGAACTAGGTGCTTCTCCATAAGATACCCATGATCATGAGATGGGTGTGCCCGATGTAAAGACAGGCAAGCATAGTTTTCCCAGCCATGACATCATAAGAAGCCAGCCAGGATACTAAACTTGGCTTGATAGAATGTAATTTATGAATTGACTCAGACCAACGATATTGCCAACAGCTGCGAAGGTGGCTAAAGATTACAGCAAAATAGTTTGAGAATGGAATACCTCTATAAGAAATTGGAAAGTCATGTACTGCTGACTGCACAGCAGAGTCTGCCTGCTCATTGCCCTGAACAACATGACAAGAGACCCAGCAGAAAACGATTTCTTTGTGTTTGTTAGAAATGCAGTGCAACCAAAGTTGTATACACAGAACCAGGGGATGAGATTGTGGTAGTCCGAGACTACCACAAATGATGAGGTAGGCATGGATGCAATACGGATAATTGCAATTATCCGTACTGCATCAGCTGTAAAAATGCTAGGAGAGTCGAATAAATAACCTCATAAAACACTGTCCAGAAACACTGCTGCAAACCCGACATGTGAAAGGATTCAAAAACATCAGTGTAACTGCAATGACATGAGAATAAGAATGGAAGTGGTTAAGAGAAAGGGAGCAAGAAGAAACTGTAGGTATTTGGCCTTTCGCGCATGGCAGTGGGAAAGAACAGACATGAACTGTCAGAACCTCCCAAGGGGAACAGAAAACTTAGATGCTAGATGAACATATAAAGGGAGGGGGGGCTACTGAAGAGAAGACAAGAGCAAGTGAACATGAAGAGAAAAGGGGCAGAATAACAGGGGCGGTGAACAAATAATGGACCTCTACTAATGTCCATTACTATCCTGTGCGTAGAAGGGTCACGAAGGTCATGAGAGCAGACAAAATAATGGAGGCAATGTGCATCACAGTGATCACTCAAGGATGGAACATTTGCATCTGCATATAGGCTCTCAACAGGTGAGGAGCGAAAAGCACCCAGACACAAACATAATCCCTGATAATGGATGGGATCAAGTTTAGACACCCCCATGAAAGACAAGCGAGAGTTTTAACCCTTTCAGGGTCTGTCCTATAAATCTACGGCTTTGAAGCCAGGGTCCAAGCCGTAGATCTACGTTAAAAATTTTGGCAACTTCAAATTTAGAGCGAGAAGGCTGGTAGGCCTACATTTAAGAAAATGGGTCTGCGTGGTCAGTGTGCGCAGTTATGAAAAAATCGGGGCACCTGCATGGCACTGTGGGAATACCATCTCAGTAAACTTTGCTCATCATGCCTGGGGGCAAGGCGAATTCTGACTCTCCTCTTCCCAAATTATAGTTCTAACACTAATGGAAGCGGACCTGAAGAGGAATTCTATGGTTTTGAGCCATATGGTACATTGTACCATATGGTACCATATCATACAATGGTACCATAAAGTACAGTGGACCCCCGCATAACGATGGCATCACATAGCGATTTTTCCGCATACCGATTACTTTTATCGCAAAATTTTTGCCGCGCATACCGATTAAAAACCCGCTTACCGATTTTCGTCCGAGACGCGTCCAATGTGCCCTCAGCCAGCCTCACATGTGCCGGCCGTCCCATTGTTTACCAGCCAGCCTCCGCGGTAACATCCAAGCATACACTCGGAATATTTCGTATTATTACAGTGTTTTCGGTGCTGTTTCTGGAAAATAAGTGACCATGGGCCCCAAGAAAGCTTCTAGTGCCAACCCTGTGGTAAAAAGGGTGAGAATTAGTATGGAAATTAAGAAAGATTTTGAAGGGTTTGGGGCTAACCCTGAGAAGCCTATGCCAGTTGTGGAATCCACTGTGCCTACTTCAAAGATTAAGGAAATGTGTGCACAGTGGGTTGAACTGCAAACCTTTATAGATGAAAATCACCCTGACACAGCTGTTGCAAGCCGTGCTGGTGACTATTTCAATGACAATGTTGTGGCCCATTTTAGACAAATCGTAAAGGAACGGGAGGTACAGAGCTCTATGGACAGATTTGTTGTGCGACAGAGGTCCAGTGACTCTCAAGCTGGTCCTAGTGGCATTAAAAGAAGAAGGGAAGTAACCCCGGAAAAGGACTTGCTACCTCAAGTCGTAATGGAAGGGGATTCCCCTTCTAAACAGTAAGAAGATAATGCTCTCCCCTCCTCCCATCCCATCAATCATCACCAGATCTTCAATAAAAGTAAGTGTCATGTAATTGTGCATGCCTTTTTCAGTTTGTGTGTATTAAAATTAACATTTCATGTGGTAAAAAAAAATTGTTTTCATACTTTTGGGCGTCTTGCACGGATTAATTTTATTTCCATTATTTCTTATGGGGAAAATTCATTCGCATAACGATTATTTCGCATAACAATTATCCCTCTTGCACGGATTAAAATCGTTAACCGGGGGTCCACTGTACAATGCATCATATGGTACAGGGACCCTAATGGAAATAAGTCACTTTGACTTTTTTCGGTTATCTTAGGTTCTCCACACATATGCTGCTATGTATGATAATCTATGTAACTGTGTATACGTGAATAAACTTACTTATGACGCCACATGCACTCGAGTAAGTTTATTCAGGTATACACAAATACAGTTACACAGATTATCATACATAGCAGCATATGTGTGAATATCCTAGGATAACCCAAAAAAGTGAGAGTGACTTATTTCCATTGGGGTCCCTGTATCTCTACCATATGGTACCCTATACCATATGCAATTCCAAGGGGACTGAGTACTTCCTGTGGCTCTACACCTGGAATAGACAGTGAAAGTGATGATGATGTGGTTACAATTAGGATGAATAGATCACATGCGTCAGTAGGTGGTGGTGGTGGTGCCACCAGCATGTATGCGTGCAGCATGTAGCACCACCCAGACTGGGAGTGAGTCTGGGACCTAAGCCACTGACTCAGCAGTTTTAGGACAAAGCGCATCGTCATCCACCGGTGGAAGTAGATGACTGTGGCCGAAAAGTTTTTTTTTTTTTTGCAAGAATAATGCTTATGCCTCATGCACAAAAGCATAATATAAAATCATACTGGTCCACAGACGAGTATGACACCACTTTGCATGACACCTTGTTTCAAAGACTAACAGACTGCAGCAGTTCTAGGAACATGTCCAGTGACTGTACATATGTAAATACATAATAAAACATTACTAATTTAAAATATTTTTGCATGTTTTTTTGTTGTAAACAATTATTGTAAACAAAATATTAGTGCAGTTATTGAATATGAGTATGAGTGTGAGTATGAGTATGAGTATGAGTGTGAGTGTGAGTGTGAGTGGTGTGTGTGTGTGTGTGTGTGTGTGTGTGTGTGTGTGTGTGTGTGTGTGTGTGTGTGTGTGTGTGTGTGTGTGTGTGTGTGTGTGTGTGTGTGTGTGTGTACTCACCTAGTTGAGGTTGCGGGGGTCGAGTCCGAGCTCCTGGCCCGCGCGTGTGTGTGTGTGTGTGTGTTAGTTAGTTACCATTTGGTCCTAGGCACATGTCGATTAGACACTTGGCCTGTTGTATGTGCATGCATGTGTGTGTGTGTGTGTGTGTGTTAGTTACCATTTGGTCCTAGGCACATGTCGATTAAACACTTGGCCTGTTGTATGTGCATGCATGTGTGTGCGCGTGCGTGCATGTGTGTGTGAGGGCTTGTCTAACGTTACCCCTCACTAGCTACCTATTTCCCTCTCCTCACACCTGATCAGGGGGAGCGATGGTTAAGGGGGTAGGGAAGGGGTAGTTGATATGTGGCTGAAAAGTAACCATCACACGCACTCTGTCATGTAGGCTCAGAATTGTAGTACCAGTTGTCTTTCCTAGTAATGCTACCTTTTCCACTTATTGCACACGCTGGATTTAAGTACCAATTACTGCTGGTTATTATCCTATTCCTTGCTCACACTGAGAGAGGACCTCCTTGCTAACAGTGTGTGTACTCACCTAATTGTGGTTGCAGGGGTCGAGACTCAGCTCCTGGCCCCACCTCTTCACTGATCACTTCTAGGTCCTTTCCCTCTCTGCTTCCTGAGCTTTGTTATACCTCTTCTTAAAACTATGTATGGTTCCTGCCTCCACTA